TTTTCCCATAATCCTTTGCTGTTTACAGTAAAATACTGTATACACATTTTACAGTATCTTACTGTACATATTACAGTAAAATACTGTTCAAATTACAAAAATCAGTTACAGTGTATGTTAAATATTAATTGTAATCAGCGAAGCTCAATTAAATATATTTTGGAAAAAGAAAATATATTTAGCTTCAACCTTCACATACCAAAATATATTTCAAAATGTATTTCAGAGGTAAGAAATTACATTTCCAGTCTCAAAGTAGCCTTTACATTTAGGCTAAATGCAAATGTGGATAGTGTGCTTCGATAATTTTGACCCATACAATGTTTTTTTGGCTATTGCTACAAATATACCCCAGCGACTTAAGGTCCAGGGTCACAAATGTGTTATATGTGTTAAATGTGTTACACGTTATTGACAACAAATGAGGGTTTTCTTCAAATGTGACATTTGTGAATGTATTTTCTTGGATTAAAATATGCAGAGGACAAAATATATTTTTAAATGCATTTACAATTATATTTATATTTGTAAAATTCATTTTCAAGCATGCAGAAAAATATATAGGTTGAAAATGCATTTGCCTAAATATATTTTGAAATATATTTAGCAAATACATATTTTTTGTATTGTTTGGAAATATGTTTAAATATATTTGAAGATATCTATATTTTGCTGTATGGGTGTGCAGTTGGACATTTCTTGATTTAGAAGTTGATTCATCACAGAAGGGTAGATGTTTTGTATTTTATATATTTACATAATAGATTAAGACGTTTTTGCGGTGCAAATGCGTCACATATCATCTTTTTGCAGTATTGCATATTGCAAACAGGCTTCTTTTAGCTAGACAGAGGGAATCCATCTTCTAAGTTTTGTGCTCTGATTGGCACATTACTCGCCTCAGCGAACTGTCACAATTTAGCCTCATTTAATTGAATACTAGGTTTATAATGTTCACAGTCTTTATTATTTGAGTTAATTAGGCTCATTAATTTCAACTCTAATATTTCTGAGTTAAACAGATGAAGCTCCGCATTATTGTAACAAATTCTTTTGACATTATTCTAGCTTTCTTGACAGCAGGGTTCTGACTCATGATTATTTAACGTTGTAGAAAAAAAATACAGATTGTATTTTGGCATACCAGTGTTCTATTGTCATTTAGGCCTTGTTTGTTGGTTTCAATTCCTCTTCCAAATAGCAAACTGAATAAACAATTAGTAGCAATTAGTAAATTAGAAAAGAGGGAACTGTGTGATCTGTTTGAATTAGTTGTCTTTGTACCTTGTTTAAAATGAAATAAATTAATAAAAGTTTTTTTTTAGTAACGTGTTACCTTTTTAGCAAGAGACATGCACAAAAATAATTTCGCTAAATAAATGAACATATAAATAAATAGTTCAAAATGAAATAAATTAACAAAAGTTTTTTTTAGTAACGTGTTACCTTTTTAGCAAGAGACATGCACAAAAATAATTTAGCTAAATAAATGAATATATAAATAAATAGTTTAAAATTAAATAAATTAACAAAAGTTTTTTTTGTAACGTGTTACCTTTTTAGCAAGAGACATGCACAAAAATTATTTAGCTAAATAAATGAATATATAAATAAATAAATTAAATAATAATGAAAAAAAAATATATATAAAAAATTTGCAATAGTCTTTTTTGAACAGATATTACAAAGAAAAAATATTTTATAATTCTAGAACATGCATTTATTTGAAAAAGCTAATTTGTCTGAAAAGTATTTCTAAAATTACTGAAAACAACTATGGGCAATTGAAGATGGTTCAACTTAACATTTGATTTCATATTATTTAAATTGTGAGTAACATCTATGCCTTAACAGTCATTTTACATTTATAAAACTAAGCATGTAAATGGTTTCAGTTTAAAATACTCAACACCTAAACTTTTACTAGTTATTCTTACTTATTCAAAGAAAAAAGCCTCATCCAATCATTTAACTGCATTAATGTTTCATCAATCCAATGGTCACAAAATGAGAAACCCTCCTCAGAGATTTACACTGGATTTTCTATTATGAAAATGGTATGGAAATAATGTTGGACTAGCTCAAAGAGAGCACTATATCCATGCTAACAGACACAATGAACACATTATCAAAGACAAGAAGCACTTCAAATGTCAATAAATATTTGTCATTAAAAAAAGAGAAAACTTATAAAATAAGCTTAACAAAAAAACTTAAAAAAAAAAAAAAAAAACTCTCTTAAACAAATCCCTTTACATACACGAATTCAAACTTTTTTATCAGAAGTACTAAAGTATGCATGTACATGGCAGAACTGCTCTCCAGCAGGTTCTTGTCTTGTATTTACATAAGTAAATACATAAGTAAATTGCAGATGTGCAAAATGACATTTTGTGACAATTATAAAGCATGAAAGTATATAAACAGCACACACATGACAGTAAGCACAAGACACTATAAAACATATGACAACTCAGTATGCATACACAGGACATTGTGGGAGCACACTGAACTCACGACAATATGAACAAAACAGAATGTGATGCAAAGGCTAGTTGTCACATGGGGTTGTCACAAGAGCGATATCTCAGCAACCATAACATTTACAGTCAAATTACACAAATATGTTTTTTCTTTAGAAGGGGTTTGTATTTAGTTTGAACATCTAGTTCAAAGGCCTCTATCGTCATGAATTCTGTTCTGCAAAGTAAAGTTCCAATATCATCATATTTTTGCTGTATCTATCCACCTTATTTTGCCACATGGTAGTAACCAAATTTCTGTGAATGTGCGAGACTTTTGATTCATTTGCCTATAAAGGTAACTAGTAGAATAAAAATTAGGCCTACAGTATAAACGGTAAAAGATTTGCGCTACAAACCAGTGTGTTTATGCTTTTGATAATGAATTAAATAATATGATAACAGTTTGCAACATCAAGCAGCATAACAAACTGTTTTGCACAGGTAAAATAACCGGATGCCTCGCACATTATAAACACAAATGGCCGCACCTAATCTATCATTAAAAATAAGGTGGATTGGGTTTACAAATCAGCACCGTAAAATCAGACTAGCATCAACAGTCAAAGATACAATGAAAACTAGTTCCCCCCCTTACTAATAGATTACGATCACGTGCCACCTAACCATGTGACACTTTACTCTAGGCCAGTGGTTCTCAACCTTTTCCCTGATAGCACACGTACATCACAGAGACGTTTATTTGACGTCTGCATTTACATCTCCAAGACATATTTTTTTACAGTGTTTGCTCATCTGCAATACGTCTATAAGACGTTTCTTATCAGATGTCAGATAGACGTCTGGAAGATGTTTATGATTTAGAATGTATGTAAAGCTGACATCTTAAAGGAACACTCCACTATTTTTGAAAATAGGCTTATTTTCCAACTCCCCTAGAGTTAAACAGTTGAGTTTTACCGTTTTCTAATCAGATTCAATGATCTATGCTAAGCTACAGCTAAAAGTGCTACCGCCAGACCCGGAGATCGGCTGAATGGATTCGAAAACTGTAAAACTCAACTGTTTAACTCTAGGGGAGTTGGAAAATGAGCCTATTTTCAAAAATAGTGGAGTGTTCCTTTAAAGACGCCTATCAGATGTTTGTACACAGCAGACGCTTTCCAGATGAAGCCATCTTTAACTGACATCTTGCAGATGTACATGTGCTATCTGGGTTTTACTCCAAACAGCTTAAAAGTACTTAAAAGTACGTAAATCTCAATTATACAGTAACTAACAAATAAGCACAAGTCAACCTGTCATACCAAAGACCACAGGAGATGCCAATTGCATATAAACTACTATACAGATCCATTTAGAATCGCTAAACACACCAAAATACAAATGAAAAATTTTAACATTCTGATTGTGTGGAAACTCAGCGATCTAAAGGCGGCTCGAGGTCATTATTGAACACAGAAACACCACACTGGTCCTCACAAACGTCTCCAAAACGCTTCTTCGGTGAGCATCCGTTATAAAACACTCGCTGTACATTAATTTTTACAACAACGTGAATATAGGCTACTGAACTGTGTTCAAGCAGAAATATGATGCTATAGTGATCAGAGCGCCAAGAGCGCACACATACACGGTTTGTTCGCGCATTAATAATAACGGACACACGCGCGCCTAATGTAAGACTCCTGTATGTCACTACTACAATCGTCTTTACCTTGATTACAATCACCATCAATCAAAACTTTACTAGCGCGACACTGGCTTGCTTTTTCCAGCCGAGAGCTACAGCGCGATGAGAAACGTAAGGCTTGAGCTGCTTCAACACAGAATACGTGAAGTGGTACTGTAATTTTTTGTTAGCTACTTATTTAACATTAATCATAAAATGAGTGAATTGAATATACTTTAATGAAGTGGTGCTATCATTTTTATTTTTAACATATTAATCATAAAATTTGTGAATTGAATATACTTTAATGAAGTGGTGCTGTATTATTATTATTATTTTTTATTTAACATATTAATCATAAAAGTTTAAGTTATCCCGCGCCCCTCCGGTTGAGAACCACTGTTCTAGGCAATAGTTTGTAGGGCACTTCGGGGCTAGATGTCACACTTTCTACTCCACATTTATTTTGAAAGTCAATTTCTGTACAGGTACATACCTTAAAATCATTACTATTTCATGACAAAAGCTATTTCCACCATAAAGCAGAAACAAGGTTTATTGAACACACCTTTTATAGGTTCAAAACACTTAACAAATTGCCTCAATAAAGGTGTGCCAACTTGCACCAACCTGATAATTAAAATTACTCTTGTCCGAGGAATACAGTTCATCCTTTTAGCTAAAATCTGTTTCCAATCCACATTCACGTGCTTTTATCGCTGTGTTGAACATACATGTCACTCAAACAGTGGATGGGCTGAACTAAAATAATAAAGGAATACGCCCTGCTACACTGTTACCCCGCCCTCTTCTCCAGTGAAGAACTCCACAGCCCTAGCCCAACCCCTGCCATTCTCCATAGCCCGGAGTTACAAGCGCACCGAGAAAACCCAGCACGAGTGTATGTGAGAGACAGAGAGAGCAAGTGACAAAGTAACTAATAAAACCAGAAAAATATTCAGTGAGGCTTCGTGCCTCTAGAAAGAACGAGAGAGTACACGAATACGTTCAAGTTTAGTTAAGAAAACGTGGTGGAAAACTTTTCTGGGCTGTGGCAGAAAGCTGTGGACCGCGGAAGATGCCAGAGCAAAGGTGTTGAACTTTCCAGGTAAGTTTGTGTGTCTCTTGAGGTTAATTAGTTTTGCAGTTCTGGCGTGCGACGCTCACGCTGCATGAAGTACTTTTCCAGGGACTGTTTCTGAACTTAATATATGCTTATGTGTAACAGCGTTATATATTTGCTTATTTGGTTCTAAGAAAGTTTGCTGTGTCTCACACAATCTCACAAACGTATTATCATCGGTATTGTTGAACACGAAGAGGGTGGGTGGGTGTGTGTATCTGCTCCGTAATTGTCATCTGGTGCGCACGTTTTTCCCTCAACAATACTAAAGAATATTCAAGTTTGCCATTGTTCAGAATTCAGCGTTTAGTTTCTTAAACTTGGCCTGCGAAATCAAACCTGCTAAAACAGGATTCACAATTAAGGCAAATTTTCTGGGGTTTTGCATGTCATGCAAAAGATACACCCAAGTTAAAACAGTGCAACGTGGATAAGAGGGTTGTCTGACTTTGCCCACGTTGTAAAATAAAACGAATAGTTAGTACTACTCATATTAGTATTATTTAGTAGTAAATTGTATATACAGTGACTTAAACTAGTGCCACACGTCCATAGATTTTTAAATTTCCTCTTGAAATGGACCATTATCCTGCCAAACCAAATCTGGTCATAGCTCAAGGTTTTTGGACAAGGTCAGCACATATTCTGCACTGTGGTTGAATCGTTTTCTCATATTTTGCTCTTTTTTTATATGAAATTTTAACATTCTTGTTATTCTTATAAAATGTGAATGCTTTAATTTAATTTGCAAATCCTGTCACATTTTGCCCTGATTTTCTTAACCTGGAGCCCTGGCCAGGGTGTGGGTAGTGAGTAAAGAGGGGTGAAGGGAGGAGGGGGTAATGGAATGTAGTGGTTTGGAAAGACTTACTAATTGAAACCAGGTTTGAAGCACAGAGGGGAAAAGTAAGGCTTGCTATGGAGGAGAAAGAATGAGGTGTTTTATTCACGCCAGACTGCGGCATGACTTTAGTTATGGAGCTGTTTTGCAGTAGGATGACTGAAAGTTTATGTAACAGAATAAGAGAATGAAAGGAATAGATAAAATTGAGTAAGAGGGGCAAAAAGATCAGTGCTGATAGTTTAGAGATATGTATGGAGTGTTGACATCCAAAAAGCTGTTTTGCAGTTTATCTGATTTAAGCTATCTTTTAAACATATTTATGAGCATATTTGTCATCAGCGGAACATTTGGAGCCCATCCCCCTTCTCCTGCCACACCCAAAGCTTTCTTCTGTTTTGTCAGGACAGATGACTCCATAGCAGAATAAAACAGTCAAACAGTAATAATGCACTATTTTAAAGTTGTGCTAGAGTACTTACTTTTACTTGAAAAGTTAATTAATTTTTATTTTTTATTTTTTATTTTTTAATTCTGTATGTGTGGTTGCCTCATTCATGTTCAGCAGTGTCAACCTTGGTTGTATTTGAAGGTTACAGTGTGTTTTGTTTAAAACAGAACAGGGAGCTTCTTGCTTATCTTAAATGATTTAGGATTTAAATGTTGAATAGAAACAAGGTTTTGGGGTCTGTGTGTCATTATCTGATGCGTGATTGTCCTGGAAGTTTACAGTGGAGGCAAAACTTTCTTCTCTGTGTTGATGGGTCAGATTAGGGTGTATTTCGTAGGACCATCTATTCCAGTGTGAAACGGAAAGAGTCTGGACTTGTGCACACTTCCTTTGTCATTTCCTTGTCGAGGACTTGCGATGCCAACGGAGGAGTGTCAGGCTTCATTTGAAGAGTTCTGAAGTATGAAGTCTGATATGAAGACTTGCATTATCTTAGTACGTGTCTTCCTGTTCAGACAGACCCTGGAGTTATCATCATTCCATGGTTGAGAAATACTGGCTTGAAGATGAAACAGAGTTGGACAATACACTGTGCGTTTGCCAATATGGCTCCGAGTCAGAGTCAGGCATTCATATTTCATCATTTTCCATATTGAAAAAGTTGTGTTGTAATAGTCTGGCACACATAGGCCTTAATCAAGGGCAGATTTGTAAATTTTACGTGAAGTTGTTTTTGAGCCCTAATGTAGTTTTTCGACTGGAGTTAAGAGGTTTCTCTTTGCGTATATTAACCGTACACTTATTTTTTTTTATTGTTATTATGGTTTTTGGCATTTCCAAATGACTCCATTTACTGCCTTATAATTAAAAAAAATCTTTAGCCTGTAGTATTATGTTTTTGTATTATCACAATGCAGAATGTTTAAATTAATATTATATTTATTAAATATCATTATATTATTATATACTTTAGACCTCATATCATCAGATTTCGTCTTGTACGTGTGCCTACGACACATGATAAACTGTACTTCCATTGTACTTCTGCAATTCAGTTTGGATTACTAGACTTCATTTGCTGTCGTCCTTGAAATAGAAGATACGGTCTGCATTTCTTTAACGTTTAGGATCACATGACAGTAGGTTTCAATGTCCGTCCAAGTACTTTAATGCTTCAATTATGTGTGAGTCCTCTTGTTTTCAGACAGTTACTTTTTGAAATGACATGCTTCATATGCACAAACCATAATTTAATGATGCAACAAGTAAATGGGTTATATTGTAGACAAGGTGAAATACATGCACTAACTTGAATGATGTGTAGCAATTATTTCCTGGTAGCCACACCTGTCATTGCTGCATTATATTATGGATTAAATGTTGATTTAGGTTTATTGTGGCCATTTTTTTAAATTGAACAAGTACATTATTTCAAGTGTTTACTGCTAACTAATCTTCCATAACAATGAATAACTGTAAAGATATGTGCTGTAGTGACACTTGATATGTTTTCTTGGTTCTAGTGAGTGACATAAGAGCTGCTTGTGATGATACTTACATTATTTTAAAGTTGCACACTTATTTTATAAAAAATAAATGACAAAGTACACAGCGAGGCCAAATTTGATCACTTCTAATGCATTCCAAAGTGTGCTGTAAGGCAATTTAATGATCGCATGTCTTGACGTAGAATAAAAGTCTGACTACAGCTTGTAATACATCACAACATTCTAGTAATGTAGGTATGCACATCTAATTGTTTACAACAGACCAAGGATTTTGGCTTGCAGAGGTTAGATATGGGATGATATTAGACTCAAAATGATTAATAGATGCACGCACAATTGTACTGCACAAATTTTATACATGTATCTTACTAACCACAAACAAATGCCTTTCAATTTGAGTCTGTGGAATTCAGGATTAAATGATTGTGCAGCGATTTGTACAAATACAGACATGTTTGCGAATAAAAATGTTCTGTTCTGCATTAATATATCATAAATTGCTCATGCAAAAAGGAATCCGTGCATATGTGGATCAGGTGACACGTGTGCATTAATTGATGTCTAGTTTGAGTCGATCTTGTTCAGTTCATTTGGATTTTGAGACTTAATTTTCGCA